GAAGCTATTCAAGTAAAAGATACACTAAGAGTGAAACACTATTTAAAACAATACAGATTTTTTTCCATTTAAAATTTAAGTTTCTAATTGAAATTACAACTTCAAAATAAATTCTTAAAAACTACTAATTCAAGACAATCACTCAAGTTAATTATGGTTAGTTCTAATGTGGCTTCTATTATACTATCTTTAAATATTTCGTTAAAAAAATTTATTTATAATCCACAATGAACCATAAATATTACTATGATAAAAGAATTGAAATATATCTCATCATCAATCCACTCGAATGAACTTATTTTTTGGTTAGTTGTAGAAGCTAATTAAATTTTTTTTTATCATACGGATAATATACTCAAATACTACTATTAAATATTATTGTTGGTATTATGAAAGCAATGTTATCTATCATCGCATAAGAAAAATAAACGTATAACATTTTATAGATAATTTTCAGTTGTTACTTAAGAGAATAATAATAATAAATCAATACTAACTCTATAAGTAATACTATATTGATGCACAAAGAATTAAGTTTTCAAAACTAGTTAGTTTAAAAGTTAACGGTTACAAAATTTCAGACATGAGACACTAGTTTCTGTAAGAAAATTCTTACAAGAAGATTCTGCAATGAAACACGACTTTCAACATTTCAACTGACTAGTTTTGACTTCTAATTATTATCTTAGATAACAACTGAAAAGTATCTACGAACCGATTCTTATGTATTTTTCTTACTTGACACTAGTATATTTTACTTTTAATGTTATTTATATTAAAAAGAAAACTTTAAAAACGTTTATACAACTAACAAAAATACCAGTTCATTCGAACGAATCAAAGTGGAGATGTTTCAATTGTTTATCGTAATGCCATTTATAGCTCACCCTGTGCATTTATTGATTTTCTATACAACGCAATCTCTTACGAATATTTTTTATTTGTAAAAGTGAGCTTACATTAAACTTTTCTCGTAAGTACTCTAATGTTAACATTGAATCACTGTTTCTAAAAAAAAAAAAAAAAGCCAAAACGTTTAATTTTATTAATAAAATTCTTTCGAAAAAAAAATGAGTACCGTTGATGCTCAATAAGTCGAGCTGCATCTTCTGTGACAACAGCATCAAGTAAAGGTTGAACTGCTTCGGAAAGTTCATTAAAACGAGCTACAATTCCTTCACGTTTTTCGATTAATTCTAAAAGAATAAAAAATTTCAAATGTTTATAAAATAATATAAAAGAAAAGAGAAAACCTATTGGTTCTTCTCCATCTGAATGAAGTTTTTTATAAATATCAAGTTGAAAATCAACCATAGTCGTGTGTTGTAAAAGGTCATATTTAGCTTGAAGAATTTCTTTTTCATCAAAGATCTAAATAAAAAGTTATTTGAAAGTAAACACAAAAATTGATTTCGTTTTCTTTTTTTTTTTTTTATTATAATTACATTTCGTTCGGTAAGAAATTCCAATAATGGAAAAACAAGATGTCGATCGAAATATCGACCTAATTTAGCAGTAAGATCAAATTCAGCCATCTAGTAAATAATATAAAAATGTCTAAAGTCAATAATATTAGAATATTTAAAAATAAAAATATGCATAACGAAAACAACAAAAAATATACGTTCTTTCTTTAGTCTACACAAGACTGGATGAATTTGTGATCGAATCATATATATATAATAGACTATTAAAATTATGCAATTGAAAAAAAATTAAAAAAATAACCAATTCTGCACTTACTTAATAATAATATTTCGAAATTTTCACTTAAAATTTTTAATCTGATTTTTACGTTGATATTGGGTGACATCTGGATTTAAAAATTAAATTTTAATGAACTATGTATTTTTTATTTTTATTTACAAATAAATCATCTTCTGAAGATTTTTAAAAAAATTTCTTAATTAAATATTGAAGAGGACAATAATTTGAAATAATGGTTTATTTTAATTGTTCTAAAAGTTCCACAAGCGCTACTTGAACTTTTCATTAAACGTTGATGATAGCGACAGGAAAGATATTGTGTTCAGTTTTCTTGAAAAATAATAGTTCCGTTATCATACATTTAATAGTTCATCTATCTGTTTTTTTTTCTTAAATTATTGAGAATTTGAATGATTTAAAAAGAATTATCATATTTATCGGTTTCCTATGATTGGAATATGAAGAAGACAAAAGGACGAACACGATTCAAGTCATTTATTATTACATTCCTCGATTCAGGCTGATAAATTTTCTTCAGGGTTTGATGTTTATTAAATAAAACATTTCCTTTGCAACACGATTTATTTTTCTATTCAGGATTTTTTTTGCTCAACAGTATTTAATTGATAACAAAAACTGTTCTTCCATTGAATTGGTAAGCATAATATTTAATTACTTTTTACAATGAGAGAATTCTAAGAAATGTTCGAGTTCAGTTGAGGGTATGAAATAAAATTTATTGTTATGGTTTTTTTTCACGAAAACTTTTCCGTAGAAATTTCCTCTAGGACCTTGAAATATTTTGTTTGAGAATCATCTTACACAATCAAGTTCTGACATGTAATTTAGTTTTTAGATCATTTTTTGAGTAAAAGTCGAACATGAAGATTTCTCTGTCAAAACTTGTTTCATGTTCTGCTGTGATTAGAGCCCTGCAGGATGCAGGTAACCTGCCCTGCCCTGCCCTGCCCTGACAGGGCAGGCTGCGAAAATAGCAGGGCAGGGCAGGGCCAGGTTATGAAATTTTTACAGGGTAGGTTACAGGTTGTCCATATCGTAACCTGTTAACCTGAGATTAATTTTGAACAACCGACATTTCCGGTATCTTTTAAAAAAATTAGGTATGAAGAAAGATGAACTTACCGAGACTAAAGCACTCATAATATAAGAAATGATCGGCTATGATAGATTGCAGCTAGTTTTGTTTATTCGATATTTTTCTATTAGTAATCTTGAAGAAATTAAGCGTTATTTTTATCCAATTCAAATTTGAAGTACACACAATTAAATGTACTATAAATACTGATAGGAAATTTTGGATATTCCTCTATTTTAAAATTAGCAGGGCAGGGCAGGGCAGGTTACAGGTTACATTAGAAAGTTTTAGGGCAGGGTCCGCAAAAATATTCACAGGGCAGGGCAGGATCAGGTTACAAAAAATTTACAGGGCAGGTTACAGGTTATAAAAATCCTGCACCCTGCAGCCCTCTAGCTGTGATATCATTAGAATATTGAGCAACTTATTAAGTAAGACAAGAGTTGATGATAATCTCGGATCTAGTATCTATTTGTGGTTTTTGTATTCTATCATATTTAATCTTGATGACTTACAAAATTCAGTCGAAATTGATTATGGGATTTTAAAGTTTTATTTGAACTGTTGGTCTTTTTCGCAAGCTTGAAGAAAATCTATCTTATGAAATGCATAATTTTTGTTTTGAGAAAAGAAATAGTTTTTGCCGTTGCACTGTTCAAACATAATTCACCAGGGTTTGACAGGCTGTATCTCTAATTTCACCATGCAACAGATGCAAAATAGAATTCAAACAACAATTTTATTTCTAATTTATCCGTAATATCCAAAGATTTTCTTGTAAATCAATTTGTTGAGAGAGAAAAACAGTTTCAAAATATTCTCAATTGTTTTCCAAGAGTGGGAAGTGCTGAAAATTCGGCGTAATTTATTCTCTTATGAATATTTTTCAGAATCACAGTTAAATTTTTTCACAGTCTCTTTCTGCTGGAATTTGTTACGAAATTAAAAATTTCTACAGAAAGTTGAACATGTTTCGGTGGAAAAAGTAAGAGATCTTTGGGATCGGAACCGTAGTTTGATAGTCTCAATGAAGTTTGTTTAATTCGCATGGGATAGTCGTCGCGAAAATTGAAGTTATTCTTTTTCTGTCTTATTATATGTAGTGATTGATGGATCCTACACATTTCTCAGACGACTAGAGACCGTCAGGTGTATAACTTTGGGACTCGGCAGGCTTTAGGAAAAATACAGAATTTGTTCGTGTGCACGAACATGCGTTCGAAGAATATTTGCAAATTATTGTCTAGGGACGTTTGTTTGAAACTAGTGGGTCTGTAGAAATTCTTTGAGTTACTTTTCTTTTGAAGAAATTTTTTTACGGTAGATTCTTTCCCTCTGGACTCTAGAGAAAGCTCCTATGAACATCTCCCTAATCAGAGATTCCAATTAAAAATAACGTACAAGATGTTGTTTCTCCATTTCTCATCGACGCTTACGCATAATTGAGAAAAACGTGAATACAAAAACCACTTGATTATCTGAAATTATTCGTCAGAATTGTTTTCTATCGAAAAGTTCCATGTAAGAATATAATAATAAATAAGGTTCATTTAATAATACCTCTAAATTGTACAGGTTTGTATCGAATATAAAGAAAAGTTTTCGTTAAAAATTCCTAATACATATACCTGTCAGAAAAGGTAAATTCTATGTAAAAAGAAAAGAGGAAAACGAGTGGACACAGATCAATAGCGAAATGAAAAAGAAAAAAAAACGAAACACATTACGCCTTGTGATTTAGACGATATCAATCGAACAATGATCAACATCAGATTAATATCAACAGCATTTATTCGAATGACAAATGTCGATGAGAAGAACAAATCGTCGAAAACAAAATTTCAATGAACTAATTTTTTCGTTTTCTGTATTTATTACTTTATTTTTGTTTTTACTTCTATTTAATTAATTTATTTTTCAGGTTGAAATCATCTAATCAAGTGCACAAAAAATAAAAATATTTCGCTAATTGATCTGTGTCCTTCATCCTCGTTGAAATCTTTTTATTCTTTTTTTTTTTTTTCTCTAAATTTTAAATAATAATATTTTATTATAAATTGTTTTATTTTGTTTTCACTTTAGATAATTTTCATCTATCCAAAAATTTGGATCTTTTTTATTTTTTATTTTGTGTTTAATTACATGATTTCATAATTGATAATTAACAAAAAGACAACAACAAACAAAAAACAAAACAATGGGTGGTAGTCAAGAAGAAGTCGTTAAAGAATTTGTTAGAGAGGTTTGTTTAATTAATATAAGATGAAATTTTGAAATAAGTTTTTTTTTTCAAATTAATTTAGCTTCAAAGTATGGTTGAAACTCGTCCACCAATATCCAAAGCAAAAATGATGTCAATTACAAAAGCAGCCTTAAAGGCAATCAAATTTTATAAGCATATTGTAATGAATGTTGAAAAATTTATTAGCAAAGTAAAGCATATAAGAATTTTTATTATATATAAAAGATTTTTGTTTTAGTGTAAGGCTGAATATAAAATACCTGGTTTATATGTAATCGATTCTGTCATACGACAATCTCGACATCAATATGGAATTGATAAAGATGTTTATGGATCAAGATTTGCAAAAAATATTATTACTACATTACAGTATGTGGAAAAATGTCCAGTAGAAGATAAAGTAATTTTTTTTTGCTGAGAAAGAGGTTTTGATTTTGAAAATTTTATTTTGTAATATTCTAGAATAAAATTTCGCGTGTACTTAATTTATGGGAGAAAAATTCTATTTTTTCTTCTGATTTAATCAAGCAACTGTTTGAAGCACATCAATCAAATGTAAATACGGATGATTTATCAGTTAAAAGTAAGATAGAATTTTTTGTAGATAAGATTATTTTAAAAATTTTATTTATTTTAGCTGAATTTTCAACTGATAAGCACAGTGGTGAAGTAAGAAAATTTTAATTTGATTAATATAGAAGAATAAATAAACATTTCAGTATTGGAATAAATCAATTGAATTCGACATTTTTATCAAAAGATTTTTTTTTATTTTTCGTCTAATAATTTATGATTTATAATATCTCTCGGTCAGATATTTGTGTAGAGAATTTTATTTTCAATAAGAACGTTTGTAGATGAACATGATCGTTCGTTTTCTAAGGATAGAGTCTCTGGAAAATCAAGTTTGTCATACTCTGGAATTCCCAAATAGAATGATAAAATGATCAATTTTCTACAAAGTGAAACATCTACTAATTCTCCAGGACATATTTTGACCGAGAATCATCTATCTTACGAGAGGTACAAAAGTCGTGTTTTTTTCTATTTCGTAAAGAAGCCTCATTTTTGAATTTAGGACAGTTGCTCGCAGGACAGCTGCTCGTCGGACAGTTGCGCGCGGACACTTGCTCGCTAGGACAGTTGCTCGCTAGGATATTTGCTCGCTAGGACACTTGCTCGTGAGGACAGATGCTCGTTAGGATACTTGCTAGTTAGGACACTTGCGCGCAAAAAAAACGCTTCGAAGTAAATATATGAATAAGGCATATAAAGATGTTCTTTATTAACATCAATAGTAAGTGAAGGACGTGGGTGTGGGTGTCAGCCACCAGACACCCACGCCGAC